CAGCGCCCAGCGGGATTTGACTCGCAAGTGCCGCTGGCCGCAAGCCGAGGGTGTTCCCACTCCCGGAGCACAGGATTGACGCGGGATCGCTGGGGCAACTCTAGACCAAGAGGGCAATGATATCGCACCCCGAAGTATGTCGTAAAAGGATCCTTCACAGCGTGATTTGCACCACGTGTTGGCCGAGAGGAGGAAAAACTAACCAGGGGTGTGGTGGCGCACGCTTTTCGGGTGATAGTGTCGGGTGTTGCGCGATGACTGAGCAGAGTCGCAACGACGACACACGCTTATTCCCCCAGACCAAGTCATATTGAACGGGGACAAAAATCGCGCAGTCCGAAAATCCAGGGAAGCAGATCAGAGATTGGCTGATAGTAGCGATGACACCATGTCGCATGTGGCGAGTTGAACCTTGGCCTGAACGCGAGACGGGTCGCAGGCCATCCCCAAGAGCACTTTTAAGAACAAGGCCTGCGTTCGAGGCGCTGCAGCGGCGTGGTCGAAACACGAGGCGCGCTAGACCTGCTGACATCACACTCACGTGACCGAGACCCTCATACGCTCACCCTTTGCTTCCCATCTTTCCACCAACTTTGTCCACCACGAAAAAAAAACCAACATGAGGGAAATCGTAAACATTCAGGCAAGTATGTCGGTTGCCTTCTATGTATCTTTGCTTAGGTTGTATTTCTCCAGGTTGGCCAGGTAAGTCTTTACTCGGATCGCGTCGTCAAGATAGTTCAACGCGTCCCCTAATTGCTTTCCAGGCCGGTAACCAGGCGCGTCAGTCTCACTTCCTTTTGATCAAAGTCTAATATTGCGTTTCACAACAGGTCGGAGAAGCTTTCTGGAGGGCCCTGTTGCTCGAGCATGGGCTCAACGAGTCTGGAGTAAGCCTTCCGACGCTCGGGTTCGCCAGATGAGCCCAGTTCCTGACGTTCAATCCCAACCCAATCAGGAATATACCGGTGATAATCGGCAGCAGGTCGATCGTGTATGTCTTGCCTTTCCTTTCGTCGCGTCATCTCATAAACATTGCCCATCCAGCTCGATGTCTACTTTACCGAGATCGAGGGCGATTCTACCCGCAAAGCGCGATATGTGCCGCGCAGCATCCAGGTTGATTTGGAAAGCGGAGTGTGCAACAGAGTGTGGTCCTTTTCCCCCGCGACTTGGCCGGCAACTCACGTCCTTTCGTCAGCTGCGGAGTGGACCCCTTGGTGGCCTTTTCCGTCCCGACACGTTTATCAGTGGCGAAAACGGCGCAGGGAACAATTTTGGCAAAGGGCACTACACTGAAGGTTGGTCGCAAGCTTTTCATGCTCGACCAATACTCACGTCATCGTTGGATTTGCTCTTGCAGGTGCCGAGTTGATAGACTCTATTCTTGTCCGTATTTTCTTTTTCATATGCCACGCTGATTTCGCTGATTGCGGGGGATCACTGTAGGAAGTCATTCGAAAGCAGGTTGAACAATGCGATGCGCTTCAAGGCTTCCAGTTGATCCACTCCTTGGGTGGCGGAACCGGGTCTGGACTGGGCTCGCTTCTCTTAGCCAAGTTGCGCGAGGTAAGCGCTCCGGTGTCACAAACTTTCATATATCAACATTTGACATCGTTCTAGGAAGCGCCGGATCGCATGCTCACAACGTTTTCGATATTCCCTTCGCCCAAGGTGTCCGACACTGTAGTCGAGGTGAGTCGTTTTGGTCGATTGATTGACGCTCTCTAACTCCGCACAGCCGTACAACACTGTCCTTTCTCTGCACCAACTTGTAGAGAATACGGACATGTGTGTTTGCCTCGACAACGAGGCACTGTAAGGAACAAATCCCCTTTTTTGTGTACAATGCTGATCGAGACTGATAGCTACGACGCCGCCCATCGCCTGAACCCAAAGAGCCAGCCCGAGTTCCATCAACTCAACCACGTAGGTCCAAGATATCGATGCAGGGCCTGTGGACTGATGCCCGGTTGTGTTTCAGCTCATTGCCCAGGTCATGACCGGTGTCTCGACCACGTTCCGGTTCCCTGGACAGCTCAACGGGTACGTGGTTCCATTGTGGTTGATGCATCAGCTGACAAGGGATGTGTAGTGATATGCGGAAAATGTCGCTGAATTTGATCCCATTCCCGCGCATGCACTTCCTTTCACCGAGCGTCGCGCCGTTGGTTTCGATCGGGAGTCGGGCGTATCAGAGCCTGAGCGTGCCCGAGTTGACCGCTGGGTACGTCACATGCTCGCTAAAACCGATCGGCGAATTTCAACCTCGTTTGTTCAGACTCTTTGATCGCAAGAACACATTGGTCGCGTGCAACCCTGCTCATGGACGGTATTTGACCGCAGCAGTTATCTTCCGCGGCAAGATTGCGTCGCAAGAGGTGCGTCCACTCGAGGGCCGGTGGTATGTTTGCTAATGGCCTGTTTAGGCAGAAGCGGCTGTTCAGCAACTACAGGCAAAGAATTCGCAGTCATTTGTCGAGTACGTAGCCCGTCTTGGTAACTTCAATCATCCTGCTAACGACCCTTGTAGATGGATCCCCGATAATGTGTCTATTTGTAAGTTTGACGTGATGTCTAAAAATTCAAGTTGTCTCACGGTTGCATACAGCGCTATGCGATATTCCTCCGCCGGGAATGCAACAGTTTGGTACTTGCTTGGGCAATACTGTAAGCGAAAACTGCTCGGTGTTGATCGCACTCTGACAGCCTTGGCAGACGGCAATCCAAGAAGTTTTCAAGCGGACCCACTCTCAGGTTCGTGCTTGCCATTTCAGGCCAGTCTCAATGTACTAACAAGTTGCCGGCAGTTTGCTGCCATGTTCAAGCGAGCTGCGTTCTTGCATTGGTACACTGCCGAGGTACGAAAATTTACTCAATTGTTTACGCAGATCTAAACTATGCCATGATAGGGCATGGACCAGATGGAGTTTACAGAGGCCGAGTCCAATCTCATGGATTTGGTTGCCGAGTATCAGCAGTACCAGGACGCGCTGTATGACCTTCAATCACTAGCATATACCTTTTACTCATTGCATTTTACAGCGCGACCGACGATGAATACGAGGTCGATGCTCCGAGCGAGGCATACGAGGGGCAGAGTTACGCCGAGACGGAGCAATAACAAACCAGTGCCAATCTTTTTCTCTTACTATACTATAGTCTTTTAGTACCCCAACAGTGCTTTGCATGCTGTTTTACACTCTTTCGTTATATCCCACAGATGGTAATGGAAACGGTTGTTTCAATCGGCTTTAATAGGATTTATTAGTCGGTGTTTTGATCGACTCGGGGTTCTGCCGCCTCTATTATAAGACAGGGGCCGCCCACATCGCTCTCTCACACTCGCTCTCACACGAGCTAATCGCGACCCGAGCTCTTGATGGCGACATTCGCGAAATCAACATTCAATGCCGCGTCGTATGCCTCGTTTAGGCCGACGTATCCCAAGTCATTGTACGAGTTTATATACGGCTATCATGCACAGTCGGGACGTGCGGGGTGGGACAAGGTAGTAGATTTAGGGTGTGGGACAGGTCGGCTTGTTTACTCTATTTGATAGTTTGTCTACTGATGGTATCAAGGCCAAGCGACGGTCGCGGTCGCCGAGCGTTTCAAGCATGCTGTCGGGTGCGATCCGTCGCCGGGGATGGTGGAGAACGCGCGGTTGGCTGTCGAGCAGACGGATGTAGCGAACAAGCCCACGTTTGAAGTTTCACCGGCTGAAAAGTTGGCGTTTTTGGGAGACGAGTCGGTGGATATGGCTATTGCTGGTGCGTACCAGCTTTCTTTCCGGTCAGGCTGTCTACGTAACGAAGAGTGTAGCCCAGGCGGCGCACTGGTTCGACTATAAAAAGTTGTTTCCGGAGCTCGCGCGGGTGCTCAAGCCTGGTGGAACAGTTGCGATTTGGAACTACAACGAGCTGAGGTTTGGAGGGAGACCCTCGCTGGATCACTTGATTTCAAAGTATTCGCATGATGAGAATAGTTTGGGGCCTCATTGGGAGCAGCCAGGTGAGGTCATTGGCTATATGTCGACCCGGGAAGCTTGAAAGTGTGGCGCATAGGTCGATCTATTCTCGAAGGTTATCTTCAAAAGGTGCCGGTTCCAACTACGCCGCCATGGGATCCCGCTTCGATTCGTCGGGTCTACTTTGTAGGGACTCACGAGCCCAACATGCAGGGCGAGAAGCATCCGGTAATACTCACCAAGTACTTGAGCTGGGATGCGTTCCACCAGTATCTCAGGACGTGGTCGTCTTTGCATAATTATCTCGCCAGCCATCCGGACGACAAGGATCAGGAGGGAGGAGATATTGTGGATCGGTTTGTGAAGAATGTGAGGGAACAGGGGGAGAAGCTCGAAGGGGCTGAAGACTGGAAGCAGGGGTTTACGGCCGAGTGGCCGTTGGCATTGATACTTTTGCATAAGCAGTACAAGTAGAAGATGTGTAAAGTAGAGTGGTTTGTATGACGGGATTAATCAATTGTATGCGCAGATCCTGTATTATATAAATTGGAATAAATCATCCTGAGAGCTTCTTTTATCACTTCTTACGACCCGACAAGGACGTTTTGTTACCCGACTTGAGCAACCAGCGCCAGCAGGAACCAGGAAACCCCCCATCTTATCAGAGTCTCCTTGCTCATTTTTGGATCAGACGAACAAGGTGGTTCACGGCCTAAATTTTTACTACAATTTCGAGCCAGAAATCTAGTTTTGAACACTGCTAGTTCCTCATAATAGTGGGTGTTGAATGACTGGGTTAAGCGTCGGGCTTTTGATGGACAGACG